ATATGTTGTTTCATGAAATTCTTCTGTGTCTTCCAATTCCTTTCGATACAGTGACTCAGTATATTCTTTCCATCTTCTTTTAATACTTCCTGGATGATTTACCATTCTGCCGAAAGCATCCTTGAGTACAGCAACTCAAGGTTTAATTTGTTCTTCAGTTCCTTGAGCTTAAGATATGCTGAGTGAGTACGGAGTAGGAAAAGATGTGGAACACAACTCAGTCTAATAAAAAAAGACTATGCTCACTGATCTGGCAGAGACTACTAGAACTCCCCAGATTAAGGCCATGAAGATACCCTTCAAGCCTGGAATTGAGCTCACTCCTGTGGCTCAACTTTCATCCAAAGCAAAACAGACCTATCAGGTAAACAATAACACTATGGAGGGACTTATTTCTTAGAACAATTAACCATACCAGATCCAAAGGTCAATATCTGCCAGGGATAAAGCTCAGAAAGTAGGAAAGGTGTATTGAAAAAATAAAAAAGAATGAAGATATGATAAATAGGGAGAAAATAGAAGAATGTAATTCCATTGTGAGGATTGGAATCAAGATCATGAAATAAAAAGTGTACAAATTATTGAATGGAAAAACCAACCTTCACTATAAACTTTCACTCAACTCACAGAAAGAAATTTAAAATAAAATCTCAAACCTACAATTAACAACAAAAATCAACTTGACAGTAGTCAAAGAAAAGACAATCTGAGCATCAAGTAGAAAACTAATTCCAATGGATTAAAAAAATCAAATGTATACAGTTTTAATGGAATAAAAAACCAAACCAAAAAAACTTTACTAGTTACCTCTGAAGTTACAAAGTATGCATCTCATTAACTTGAAAATTGGTAAATATTCTACCTTTCCTGTACTAACTGTATTGGAAGGTTCTATATAGAACTCCAAATAAGAAATTGGAAAATTACCATTTGAAACCTCACATCTAGACAATGGTCATGAATGGCTGTTAAAATCCAATTCGTAAAAGGCTGACAGGAAAACTTATAAAAGATGGCATCAGGCTACTAGTATGTTAACCTAGTGGCCATCTGTTGTTGTTATGTACCGTCAAGTTGGAACAGACTCATAGCTGACCCTCTAGCAGGTTTTCAGAGTCATTGGAGGAGACTGCCCATCTCTCTTCTGTGAAGTAGCTGGTGGATTCAAATCACTCACTTTTGGGTTGGCCAAACTGTTACCACTAAACCACACAGTTTTTGGTTTTTCCAACTTTGTGTTGTACAAATTTCCAAACATATGCAAAACTGCAGAAAGTAGTATGTTTCAGGCACTCATTCAAACCCAAAAATCCACTATCATCTATTTGAACTTCCCACAGGATTTTCAAGGCTGTAATCTTTACAGAAGGTAATTATTACATATTTCTCCAGTACAGCATCTGGTGGGTTCAAACAGCTGACATTTCACTGACAGCTGTGCCCTTAATCACTGTACCACCAAGACTTCTATGTATCCATTGCCTAGATTCAATTATCATTTCATGGCTAATGCTGTGCCAACTATATCTTCCAAGCCCCTTCCTACACTTAACTGCAATAAAGCAAATACCAGATATATCATTTTATTTGTAAATACTCCAATATGTATTTTTTTAATTGTTTAATTCACATGGAAGCTGGAAAGGACAGGGACGTAACAACTGGAAGTAAAGGTGGGAGATGTATACATATTTTCATGTATGTAATAAGAGTAAACCTTGGATCACAACTCAATCCTTTCTTCTTATGAAATCTATCTTTTACCCTTGGTATCCACAAGGCCCTGATAGGTTGACTCTTTTTTTTTCTTTCTTTTTCTTATTATCTTTATGGACAGTTGGAAAGATGGTTCCCTACTTCAAACCTTCCTCCCCTTTTCCCCATGGCTGATCCTCACCTTCAGATCCTCACACAGGTCGCCATAGTCAATCTCAATGAGGGCCTCTCGTGCATAGATACTGGAAGTTCTCTGAGAACCACTCACCGAGTCTTCTCCCTGCGAGCTACCCTGCGATAGTGAGAAAGAGATTCTAATAAAGATAATCACAAATTCCCTTCAGGGCAGGGTATACAGGGTATAACTGTAGGTTCCTTTGCAGCCTTTAACGTGTTTGAGAAATCAGCTTGACAGAAAACAGTGTTGCAGATGGAATAGCTACTCTAAAGGCAGAAAAACTTGGGTTCAAAATTAGGTCACTAACAATGTGATCTTGGGCAAGTCATACACTCTCTTAAGTGTCTTCACCTATAACATGCAGACAGTATCTGTCTGGTAGGGCTCAGGTTACAAGTAGAACTAATTATGTTATATGTTTCCCAATACACTTACAGTGTTAAAATTCTTTTACTGACATAAACTGAAGTTAATTATTTGGGAGACAGGAGAGAGACCTAAGATTCAAGATTTAAGGTACATATAATCTCTTTACTATCAATCATTATTTTTAATGATTATAAATTATTCAAGCTTACATTTCAATCAAGAAGGCCAAAAAGAAACTGAGTGTTTCTACCAGTTTCAGACCTAACCCTAACCCAAAAGACAAAGCTGAACATACAACACCTGAATTTAGAAACCATCTCAAAACCAGAATTGATGCGATGAATACTAATGATCAGACAAGTTGGTAGATGACATCAAGGACATTATGTACATTATTAAAGTAAAAGGTCATTAAAGAGAGGAAAGAGGATATTAGAAAGAATATAAGAAGAGAATCTTATTTCAGGAAGTAGAGAAGCAAAAATGAAAAGAAATGATGACAAAAGATTCAAAGGACTGCCGGAAAAGACAAAGTAGTATAATGAAAAATGCAAAGACTTGGAGTTAGAGAATCAAAAGAACCCTCTCAGTATTTCTCAATCTGAAAGAACTAAAGAAAAAAGATTCAACCCCAAAATTATAATACTGAAAGATTCTATGGTCAAGATATTGAATATAGGAAGCATAAAAAGAGAGTCATTGTACTAAAAAGAAGCAGCAGACATAATCATTTCAAGATAACTCTCAACTTGCTATAATCAAGAATCAAGATGCACTGAAATTACTGGAAAAAATATATTTTTAAAATAAAAGTTTAAAAATTTTATAATGAATACCAATTGCAATGTTTCAGCAATGAACATTCCCACTAGTCCATATGCTTAAAAATGTTAAGACCTGATGAGCCAATTGAATGAAATTCTTATTTATGCCCATATAAAAGAAAAGTGATCCAACAGAAAGTGAAAATTAAAAGTAAAGTACATGTGGGTAAAATCTTATAGAGGGCAATTTAAAAACAGCTTGATCAGTATATTGACAAGGAACTAGTACAGATTCAAGCTGAATTCAGAAAACATGGAATCAGTGACATCATTTGATGACCTCAGATGGATTGTGGTGGAAAAGTAGAAAATATCAGAATGAATTATGCAAAGGCATTCAAATGTGTGTGTCATAACAAATTAAGGATAGCAATTCCAAGAATGGGAATTCCAAAACACTTAATTGTGTTCAGGAGGAAACTATACATAGACCAAGAAGTGAAAGAGTAAAGTAAGCAAAACTAGGAAATACTGCATAGTTTATAATTAGGAAAAGGTGCATTTAAGAGTGTATCCTCTCATCATACCTATCAAATTTGTATGTTAGGCAAATAATCCAACAAACTGGCCTATAAGAATGCAGCATCAGAATTAGAGGAAGACTCATCAACAATCTGAGCTATATAGCTATTAGAAATAAGCTTGCAGAAAATGAAGACCTGAAGCACTGACTGATGAAGCTTAAAGATTATAGTCTTCAATCACAACTCAACAAGGGGGAGGGGGAGGTGTGTGGAAAAATTCTCACAACTAAAACAATTAACAATATGATAATAATAAAAGAAAGGGGAAAAATAATAAAGGAGAAAAGATTCAGGTTGTCAATTTTACTTGGATCTACAATCAACATCCGTGGAAGCAAGCAATCAAGAAACCAAACTATGGATTATACTGGGCAAATTTGCCGAAAAGGACTTCGTTACAGTACTAAAGAGCAAAGATGTCACTTTGAGGACAAGGTGCACCTGAGCAAAGTCATGGTATTTTCAATTCATATGCATATGAAAACTGGACAATTAATAGGGAAGATTAAGAAAGAACTAATGCCTCTGACCTGCTGGTGAAGAATAATGGAACAAGGCACTGACTGCCAAAATAACCAATAAATCTGTTTTAGAAGAAGTGCAGTCAAAATGCTTTTTAGAGGCAAAGACAGTAGAACTTCATCTCACATACTTTGGGCATGTTATCAAGAGGGGTCTGGCCTTAAGAGTCAGCATAAAACAGGAAAACCTTCAATGAGATATAGTAACACAGTGAGTGACATCAATGAGTTTAAGCATAACAAAGATTAATGCAGAGATGGTACAGGATCAGTGTTTTGTTCTGGTGTACCAAAGGTCACTATAAACTGGAGCTGATTCAACAGCATCTAACAAAATGGTTACAATGCCTTGGCTCCTCTGTTGGCCAGTATATCTCTGTAATCCATCATATTACCAAGTGAAGTTAACATAGCTCAAGCCTTCAAAGTTAACAAATTACTTCATGGTCTCCTGGTTTACTTCAATTTAACTCATATTCAATTTAACTACCCTCTCAAACCAAGTCTATTAACTTTCAATCCAGCAGCCTTCATAACCTCACCTTCCTGGCCTCTGCACCCCTCTTACGTATCCTCTTTTTATAACCCTTTTTTCTCTTACCTGTCCCTTTTTGGCCATGTCATTCCCCATCCTCGGTTAATGTTGTCCACAGCCCTTTCCCACTACAAGCAAGAATTCTCACCTCTTCCTGGCTAATATCGTCCATAGTGCCCTTAGACAGTGGCAACTTGATGTCTTGCATCTTACAAGCCTGTAGGAGGTTGTGGCGATCACTGCGCTTTTGTTCAAGCTTGGTCTCAATGGCTGTCACCTCCTTCTGTAAGTGGGTCATTTCCCTAAGAAGATCCAGGGAGCTAGGTGAGACCCAAATCTGGTAGACTGTTTGCTCTACTTACTCCCACCACCCTGAACTTAAAACTCACTCACTTGTTGGCACCTCCCAGCTTCTTACGAATCTCCTCCATCTCATGATTCTTGTCATTAACCTCTGACTTTTTGGCCAGGTGCTGATTCTTCAGGTCTTGTAACTGGGCCATTGTCTCATCTATGATCTTCATGTGTCTTTGCTCCTCCT